ATTGCTTCTCCATTATAGCTAATATACGTTCGATACCAATACTGACGCCAACACAGGGCACCTGCCATCGGGGCGTATCGGCCAACACACCCACCAGACCGTCGTATCGCCCGCCGGCCGCTATACTTCCGCACTCGACCTCCTCTAGGGTTAACACTGTCTCGTAGATGACACCCGTATAATAGTCCAGACCTCTGGCGAGACTCAAATCAAACCGAATATTATCCGTTAACTTAAAAATATCGCAGTATTTCAACAGTAGTTTAATCGCTTCCAATCCACTCTTGGCCTTCGCATTAGTGCCCAACTCTTCGGCTAACATTCTGTCCACGAGTTCCGTAGAACCGTTTAACTGAACAAATTCGCCAATTTTATCGGCAACCGATTCGTCCAAACCCTTCTCTCCTATCATTTCGGCCTTCACTTCATCCCAAGACATCTAAACATTAAATTTTTATTACAATTTTAAGTCAATAAGAGAGAAAGCAATTCAAATACTTTGTCGAGTTTGTCGATCGCCGAGCAAATTGTCTTAAATTTTTCTGCGGGAACTCCGCATAATTCAAACATACCGTCCAATATCTCCCTGTGATTGACCTGAAAACATATGGTAAACATTTTCATTAACCGATCGATTAGATCAATGCATTTCTAATAAAAACCTTAATCACAAATGAGTTGATTTGTAGACTCTTAAGGATTTCGTACACAATTCTCAAACACTCGACGTCCGGAATCATTGGATCGAATGCACCGGCGATGTCGAAGTCCTGTCGGGGAAGGGATAATCGCCGGTCAATTTGGGTCACAAATACAAGGCGTGAGTAAACAAAAACAACGAACGCATTGATAAAACTCTCTGAAGCGGCCTTTGGTTATGGATGGGTTGTCGCGGCGGTACACCTTCGAGATCTGGTACCTCTTCATTGTCGTGATCTTGTTTTGAGCCAAATATCGGGCGAACGGAACCGTCAGATCGTACCGAAGAGCCAACTGTTCGCCGCCTAAACCGAGACAACAAAAAACAACAACACATTGAAAGCGCGAGTGTTGGGTCGGGAGTGGAAGCGGTGGTGATGTATACCCTGATCGGCCAAATCGTAGATGAGTTTGGAGTCTTCGCCATACTTCCCGGTGAGGGTCTCCTTGAGTTCGCAGACAGGAGTGTCGATCTGAAGGGCGCCGTGT